GCTGTGCCTGTTCCTAATAAGCTGTGCCTGTTCCTAATAGGCTGTGCCTGTTCCTAATAGGCTGTGCCTGTTCCTAATAAGCTGTGCCTGTTCCTAATAGGCTGTGCCTGTTCCTAATAGGCTGTGCCTGTTCCTAATAGGCTGTGCCTGTTCCTAATAGGCTGTGCCTGTTCCTAATAGGCTGTGCCTGTTCCTAATAGGCTGTGCCTGTTCCTAATAGGCTGTGCCTGTTCCTAATAGGCTGTGCCTGTTCCTAATAGGCTGTGCCTGTTCCTAATAGGCTGTGCCTGTTCCTAGTAGGCTGTGCCTGTACCTATTTTGATGTCTGACTTTTTGTTGTGCCTGTTCCTATTTGGAACTGGATTTTGACCCTGATCCCGTTTTATAGTTGGCTCTTGTTGCAAAGAAAGTTTGACAGTCGTGAAACTTTATCTAACAAGTGCCAACATGTTGCAACAACTCGCAACAGGGTAGCCAAACAAGAAAATGTTGGGTGACCCAACAATGTTGCGTCTTGTTGCGAGGCGCAACATTTCTCGTTTGGCCGGGGCTTAATAAACGCGATAAAAAAAAACTTTTTTATTCTTTACTTTCAACGCACTCAAAAAGGCAGCAACAAAATGGCAGAACTAGGCCCTTCAGAGCAAGTCTCGGGGTCATTAGACCGTATTGCAGTAACACAATGAAAAGGAAAAAAACGGGTATTCTTGTTAACAATTTTAATTCTTTTTATCAAGTTTCCTCTTCCTCACTGGCGTGGGAGTTCTCATGGACAGACAAGAATCATTCGTTTCTCCTATGTAAACCCTTATTATTCTAAAATGGTAGGGGAAGCTGGCGAAATGTGGAAGGAGATTGAAGAAAAGGCACAACAGGAAATACTTATAAAGTAGGTGCCAGGAAAAGTGACTAATATGGGGTCTGTATATTAGCCAAAGAATAGACTGGGATAGGGTGTTGTGAGGGATAGACCTTGATTTATGAAATGTAACAAGGACATGTCTTAAGAGTACTTCGAATGGATACTTTCAGAACTGTTGGACTGCTAACAGTGGAAGGAAGCTCTGGTGAAAATTTGAGGGAAGTAAGACAATCACTTGATGCAGCAGGAGCAAGTTATGATTTTTTGTCAAACCAAAAACTGAAGCAAAGATTTCCAGAGTTGAGCTTTCCACCTCAATACAGTGCTCTGCTAGAACACTCGGCAGGAATTTTAAAAGCTGATAAATGTTTGAGAGCATTGCAGGTACAGCTAACTATGTTTCATATCTTGTGCAATAGGTCTTTCGATTTCATGAAAACTTGAAGCCAAGAAGTAATTTTTGTCCTGTTATGTGAATTGTTTGAAGGATCAGTTTGTTGAATTTGGTGGCACATTAAAAGATGGTGAAGGTGTGGTTGAAATACATCCAGGATCATTAGTTACAATAAAGACCACCAAGAATTTGTTCAGAGTCCACAAAGTGATAGTAACAGCAGGTAAACCACTTTATTTCTGTCATGAAAATTTGAGTTTTTATGAATAAATCTTTGGTTCTAAGATTTTGCTGTGTGCCAGGAAGCAGTAAAATGATCGGTTGGGAACTAATTCCTTGACCCTGCCAAAATGGGAATTATTGTTAAATCATGGTTGAAAATGTTCTAAAAATATAAAACCTGTCATCATAGATAGTAAAAAAACTGCTAGGTGTATGAACTTAGTCTTCTAGCTGAACATCAGTCATTTCAAAAATATTTCTCATCCATACTAGAGGGCCATAATTGGTTATGTCTCACCATTGCCTCTGTAATCTTTGCTACACCCTTTTGAAAACCATGAATAAAAGAAATGATTTATTCCTTTTTCGGTATAAGCTGATTATATTTGAAATCTTAAAATGAATCTTTATTTCAGAAGATTTTGGTCACAAACTTTTTTTCACTTATTATTCATACTTTTTTAAAGGACCCTGGACCAATAAACTGCTAAAACCTGTGGGAATTACCTTGCCTCTAAAGGTAAAAGTTGAACACTGAAAATTCTTGTTTTCTTTGTAGTTTCCAATTTTTTAGTCACATTCTCATTTTTGCAAATCATATTTGCATAAGGACCTGACCTTTGAAGGTCCTCACCTCTTTTTTTTTTAACCATCAGCCATGCAGAGCCAATGTTTTTTACTGGAAGGTAAAAAAAGCTGGCACATACAGTCTTCAGAGTGGTTTTCCTACATTTTATGATGATACAGCATCTGATCCTCGCAAGTTATATGCGCTCCCTTCATTTGAATATCCTGACATGGTGAAGGTAATACTTACTGAAGGTAACAAAGACCTATTAACTTGCAATACAGCTGTAAGTGAGTATAACAGGGTTTTCATTAAGAAATGAAACAGCAGGATAATTGTGTACTAGAGCAACAAGAGAATATTCTCCATGTATAAAAAAGAATTAGCCAAGCAGCCATGAAAATTATTAAAAGTTAAAGAACATTTTTTACTGGATAGCTGGAAATATTTTTCTGTTAAAAAACTATCTGTGATAGCTAATGATGACCCTGGTTGAAGAGTTGTTTGTGAAGTGAAATACTAAGAATAATTTCTTGACAACTTTAGCAGAAGTCATCATCAGATAATTCTCATCATGAGTGGATTGTTTTCTTTTAAAATCTGATGATGATGATGATGAGTTCTGCTCAGTTCATTGAAACTGTATTAAGTGTAGGCCGCTAAACACAGTCAGTCAAAAGATTTTCTAAATTCCCTTCTTTGGAGATTACACTGATTACATTATAAACTTACTGGTAAAATCTGGTTTTAAAATAAATTGATTTTTTTTGTCACAGTTTGGGCCCACTGGTGCATGCAGATTGCAAGACGTTTGCTGGGAAATTGACCCAGATGCAAGAGATTGGGATAGAGAGACTGAAGAGAGGATTATTCAGAGCACAAGAGAATATATCCAGCATCACTTTCCTTACCTTGATCATCATGAGCCAGCCATAGTAGAAACTTGTATATACACAGTATGTGTCAAGTTTAAAAAGTTAAACAGGGGTCAGTGTCCTTAGCTATACTTTCTCCCCTGACCTGGGTGTGAGACTCATAATTTCAGATCACAAACTTCTCTCTTACTAGCTCGCCACTACTATTGAATTTCTCATGCCTAACAAAAAAAAAATTGCTCATGATAGCTTTATTTAGCACATTTTCTAACAACATGAGGAAGAGAAGCTCAGACTAAGGGGCACAAAAAAGAAAAGTACTGGTGATCATTCCTTCTCCAAAGCCTCTGATTTAAAAAGGGGAGAGAAGGTTATGTGCAAACTCTTTGGGGATCATTTGGAAATGTGGAGTTGTCTGGATGTAATTAAGCTCCTTACAAAAATCGTAGCATTTCCACTATCACAATCTTATCTCTTTGGTACAGAAGAAGATGGTATACTAAATATCATTACTCTTGGTGGAAATCTGCCAACTAGAATGGTCATTTCTGGAGTTAATGATCATACTTTTTAAAATTATTTTTGTCAGAGTAGTGGACACAAGTCTGAACATAACTTATCTGGTTGGACAGTTCTAGAAGTCACTTTATCAATGAATCAATCTCACAAGCCAAATCTCATTCAAACTTTAATTTAAACTTCCTCAGGGTAATAGGGTTGACAAAACCTAATTTGAAATTGTTTTTTAACCCAGCTAACTCCTGATGAGAATTTTGTGTTGGATAAACATCCCAAGTTTTCCAACATCATTGTTGGTGCTGGCTTCTCGGGTAAGGCATTCTGTTTTGTTGTTATCTAGTACTGCTTTGACACTTCTAACAAAGAAAAATAGATTTGCTTGCAATTTCAAAACTGTAAACAGTGTAACTTCTAAATAGTTGCGTGGTTTCAATAAAAGTTGGTTAGTATCCCCTTGAACTGTTAAAATCCTCTAAAATTTTTAATTTTTTTTGCAGCTCATGGATTCAAGCTTGGTCCTGTTTGTGGCAAGATTTTAGCACAGCTGGCCATGAATGAGACACCAACCCATGACTTGTCACCCTTCAAGATTGCAAGATTCAAAGTTAGTCAGCCAAAATCCTCACTATGAAGATGGTGCTCATGATGAAGATGATAATAACAACTACCACTCCAGACTAAAGCTACTGAAAAATCCTGGTGCCACCCCAGACATTAAAACAAATGATTTATCTTTACTTCTACTTGGAATATCACGAGAGTTTAAGGTTTAAACCTTTAACAACTGGAACTGATGGAAATGTAACTTCTCCATATAATATCCATGCATTATTCAGTGAACAGTTAATTAGAATACTCAAACTTATCATGTAAAAGGTCTTATCTTGATCTTGCACCAAATTCTTTAAGTAATTTGCAAGGAATGTGTGGCGGTTAAAGGGGGGAGAATCAACGGTCAGATCTTGGATTAATAAAGCTAATCAAATTGTACAGTGCATTCTCTTCTCCATTTAGGAAAATTGAGTGAAATATATGAGTGCCCAACCCTCGCAAATAAGCCTTTTTTAACTTCTAACATGAAGTGGGTGTTTCTTTCTCTAAAAAGGGGATGTAAGGCAAAGGAAACTACTTGCAACAAACTTTTTCGTCTTCGTTATCTGTTTTCAGCCCCATCTGTGCTAAAGAAGAAAGAGAAGAAACAGTTTCCCCCAGTTTCTTGGGTCATTCCTTTTTGAGCACTACTTGTTCGGTCAATTTCTCTATCCTTCCCACTTCTCTTAATCTTGTTGTTCCCTTTTTCCCATTCAAGCCACTCCCCTCACCCTTAAACAACCCTCGAGTGAATAGTCCTCAAAGCCTGGTTCCCAGACTCCTTTCAAATCCCTGGAAGTTAAAACAGCTAGTCTGTTCAGCGGACTACTAAAAAAGTGGTAGTTACGTCATGTATAGGGAACCTACAGAAAGGTTATGGTTCAACATGGCGGTACACATGACCAGTTGAACATTGTTCAACAGTTGCGGCATGGTTGGAACAAGGCATTTGCGAGGAACCGTACTCTCACGGTAAGACCTATGCTTTGTTATTTTTTGCTATATTTCAGCTTTATTAATACCTTTTTTATCGTTACTTACAGAGTTCGCCACCTTCTTCGTTCGGGTGCAATGACAAAGACACCGCTCTGGGTTCCAGTTGTCGAGGCATTTCCTCCCCTAAAGGAGACAAAATTAAATAGAAAAGGCGACGAAGAGTTAATGCACAAGATAATCTATCCTGAAGATGAATTCAGAAAGTAAGGCATCAGGAATTGTAAATTTTATCAACATCATTATCACGCTGGCCTATGGAATGAGTGAGATAGAATATTGGATTTGGCAATTGGATTTGTCTTTCCACTATTATTTTACCGAAAAATAGTTGCTTATTCATAGACAGTGGATTTGGCCGCACAGTTGTGGCTTGGATTTGAGGGAACATAGGATCTGGAAAAAAATGGATCATCTCATGAAATGTTTTTGTTTTTGTATTGTCAACCCTTGTTTTTTTTTTTTCGACAAAGGAGAAAAAGGGATTGCTCCAATTTATGGGAGAGGAAAGGCAATGAGAAATGAAATAATTTATGAAAATGGCCATAACCTGGGAAAATGGTGTCAGTAAACCTTCCCCCACTC